GGGCAACTTATGAGACCCTGTCTCAAAAAAAAAAAAAAAAAAAAAAAAAGCCTGTGGCCTGTGAATGGAGCACAATGGTAGCGCAGCCCCGGGTCCCATCCCTGGTACAAAAAAAAACGTTAAAAATTAGCAGATGAATGCAGGCCTGGGAGCATACACCTGGAATCCCAGCGATTTGATGCATGTCCCGGAAGTCATCTTGGCTGAGCAGTGGTGAAGACCAAAGAGACAGAGGACTGCCCAGAAGTGTGCAGCCGTATGCTGCTGCTGTGTGAAAGCGGGAGCTCCTGTCACCCTTGTGGTCCTGCTGCAGTCTCACTTGCTGCCTGCCTGCTGCAGCACCGGTGACCTGCCATCAGTGCCTTTGGGTCTAACACAGAATCAAGACCTGGGAGGGTGGCGGGCGCCTACTCTGGGAGGTCTGCAAGCAGAGGACGGGCCTGGCAGAGCTGCTGTAGAAAGGACTTTGCTGCCCAGGCAGGCGGGCTTGGCTGTGGCAGTGTGATCATATACAAACCCATGGTGTGTCCCCTATGCTGCTCAGCCAAGCTCCCGTTACACTGCCATCAGGGATGTCATGTTGAAAGAAGGCAGGCCTGGTCCTCAGAGAGGAAGACCAGCTTACACAGATAATCATATGCAAAGTAAAATAATTGAGTGTGCTGACTGCAATGGAGGAGGAGCACACAGGGAGCTGGGGAATCCTAATGGGGCCTGGCCTAACTAGGGGTTGGAGCAGAAAGGCTCTCCCAGGAGGGGAGAGCCTAGAGATCTAAAGGGTGAACGGTCCTCGAGAGGCAAGATGGGAGAAAGGGAATCACTATTTCATAAACCCTGTGGTAGGATGGAGCATGGCTAGTTTGAGGAGGTGAAAGTTTGGGGTAGCTGGAGAAGGGTGAGAGGAAGAGGGACAAAGAGGAGGCTGGCAGTACCCTCAAAATGCCATGTTCAGGAGTCTGACTTTGTCTCGGACAGTGGGAGCTACAAAAGGCTTAAGATGGGGAAATGACCTGGCCGTGTCCAGGGGGAATAAATGGGAGGCTGGAGGCAGGGAGGCCACCAAAGGACCAGGCAGTTGCTAAGGGCAGGTGTCGTGGTGCCTGGGTCTTGGCATGGACGGTGGTGGAACTGGGGGGAAGTGGCAGCCTCACCACTGAAGAAGCAAGAAGGGAGGTCAGGGGACAGGTGGCAGAGGCTGAGGGCTGTGGCTCCTTCCACCATTCAGCAGGTAACAGAGGGGAGGTCTGGGCCGGGTGCCAGGGTCCCTTTGGCTCAACAGGCCATGCCAACTGGGTAAGCAGAGGCGGACACCCGATATTCCTCCAAAACAAAATCCTGTCATTCACACTCCCTGCTGTTCACTGGAGGTGTTTGTTTGTTTTTTCTCCTGGTCTATTTCAGGTCTGACGGGTTTGTGGGGCGAACAGAGCCGGGGCTCAGAGCCAACTGGGAGGGAGAGTGCTCCTTCTTCCTCCAAGACCAGGAAGGGGCATTGCCTGAGCCTCCACTGAAAGCTCTGGGCAATGCCTTCCCTTCTCTGGGACTCGGCCAGGTTCTGGCTCCAGCCCTCTAGACCCTCCCTTTCAAAGTGAAGTATTATTATTCTTCACCTTTGGGTCCTAGTTTCCAAAAGTGCTTTAGGGTGGAGCGGGGTGGGGCAGCCCTGTAGCAAGGCAGCTTGGCAGAAGCCACTTCCTGACAAAGGACTGATTAGTCAGGGGATGTAGGTGGCATTCTCTGTTCAGGAAGGGACCCAATCTCCCCTTCCTGTCCTAGATTGGGACCATTCCTACTCTTCTGTCCACATCCCTGGTGTGGGCCATAAGAATGGTCAGGAGAGCCTGGTGGGTAATCAGCATTCAGAGGCCTGGAAAGAGCAGAGACCTCCCCACCCCTATCCCAAAGCATCAAGAAAATCTTGCTATAGAAAGAGTTCTTCCATCTGGGTACAGTGTAACCCCAGTGACTCTAAAGGATTGCAAGTTCAAAGTCAGGCTCAGCAACTTAGTGAGGCCCTATGCAACTCAATAAGATCCTGTCTCTAACTAAATAAAAAATATTAAAAAAGGGCTGGGGATGTGGCTCAGTGGTTAACTACCCCTGGGTTCAATCTCTGGTACCAAAAAGAAAGAAAGAAAGAAAGAAAAAGAGTTCTTACAGCTCAGCACACCTGTGACTGGGGAGGCTAAGGCAGGAGGATTGCAAATTTGAGGACAGCCTTGGCAATTTACTAAGATCCTGTCTCAAAATAAAAAATAACAGGGCTGGGGATGTGGCTCCGAGGTACAATGTGCTTGAGTTCAATACTCATTACCTTACCCATAAAAAACAAACCCACAAATGATAATGTGTGAAGAAACAGTTCAATTTACTTGAAACCAAAAGGTGAACATCAAAATGTCCTCACACATAAAGGCAGGGGTTTCCAAATCTTTAGAGTTGAGAAATCCTCTGCTAACTTCCCGGAATCCTTCATAATGCTGACAACTATATTCATTTTTCTTTCTTTAAAAAAAAAATAGCAGGACTGGGGTGTAGCTCAGCGCTGGAGCACTTGCAGAGCATGCTTAAGATACTAAGTTTGATCCTAGCCTTGAAAAAAATAAAAATAAAAAAAAAAAACTTCATAGTGACATACACCTATAATCTCAGCTGCCCATGAGTCTGGGGTAGGAGGATCACAAGCTCAAGGCCAGCTTGGGCAATTTAGTGAGACCCTCTCTCAAAATAATTAAAGATAGTTCAGGGTGTGGCTCATGGTAGAGTGCTAGCCAGCACATACTGGCCCTGGGTTCAGTCCCCAGTACAACAAAAAACAAACAAAACCCCTTCATCCCTCCCCTACCTGAGGACGCTAACATGCAGTCGGAAGCTGAAAACTCTTAGAACTTTACAACTCTTTCCAGAATAAAGTAGAAAATGTTCCTTTCCAGTGTTCAACTTGCCTTCCCATCTAACCCCTCCCCTTCCCTTCCCTGGGGAAAGTCTTGGAACAGTCACGTTGGCCAGGGTCCTACAAGGACTCATCTTTTTTTCCCCCTATCACCGGGAATTGAACCCAGGGGTGCTTAACCACTGATCCGCATCCCCAAACCTTTTTATTTTTTTACTTGTTTTCTATTTTGAGACAGGGTCTCACTAAGTTACTTAGCCTTGCTAAGTTGCTAAGGCTGGGTTTGAACTTGGGATCCTCCTAATACCTTAGTCTCCTGAGTTGCTGTGATCATGGGTGTGCACAATATTTGGCTTATTCCAGAATTTAACTAAGGATTGCTGCATACATACAATGAAATGTCATTTCTGAAATATTCTCAAGTTTAGGGCTGGGAATATAGCTTAGTGGTAGAGTGCTGGCCTAGCATGCACAAGGCCAGCAAAAGAAAACTCAAGTTTATTCAGCTGTAAAATGTAAAATGGGCGCAATCATTCTTTTTTTTTTTTTTTTAGAGAGAGAGAGATGAGAGATGAGAGAGAGGGAGAATTTTTAAAATATTTATTTATTTTAGTTCTTGGCGGGCACAACATCTTTGTTTGTATGTGGTGCTGAGGATCGAACCCGGGCCGCACGCATGCCAGGTGAGCGCGCTACTGCTTGAGCCACATCCCCAGCCCTGCACCATTTTTCTTGAAGCTGCACGGAGCAGGCTCCTTCTCACCAATCAGGTTTCCAGGTGACAATTCCTCCAAGAAGCCTTCCTAGACCACCTTCTTAGGTGGCATCCCCCCATGTATGTCACCTTATTCCATCTTAATATTTGTCTTAACTGAAGCCGTTTTATGTATGTTGTCTTTCTCCCCAGCATGAGAATGTAACGAGGGCAGGGACCTTGAATATCATTTTTTTTTAATTTTTAAAAATATTTTTTAGTTGTAGATGGACACAATATCTTTATTTTATTTATTTATCTTTTTATGTGGTTATGAGAATCGAATCCAGTGCCTCACATGTGCCAGGTAAGCACCTCTGAGCCACAACCCCCGCCACAGAGACCTTGACTATCTGACCATCAAGCTGATGGATCCCCAACACTCAGAATAGCATCTGACACCCAGGGCTCCATATATTTGTTTTGTTTTGCTTTGCTTTTTTTCTTTTTTCATTTAAAACTTCTCAAAGCATAAATGACATACAATAAAATGCATCCATCTGAAGTATACAGTTTGGTAAGTTTTGACAAATATGTACTCCTATTATTCCTAGCAAACTAGATCAAGAGTTCCCTTTTCTAAGCATTAGCTTGAACCCTGCTAACACCATTTCTCCCCAAAAATGAATGACTTGCCGGAACTGGCTCTAGGGTTTGGTGGGAGCTACTCACATGCATGCACAACACTCCACAGTTTACAATGCCTTTCCACTTTTGACACCATGATTGCTTAGAGAGGTTAGGTGACATGTGATCATCCAGCTCCTTCCACCATCCAGCAGGTAACAGAGGGGAGGTCTGGGCCGGGTGCCAGAGTCCCTTCCGCACAACATGTCACTTCAGTCAAGAGGGCAGGTCTCTGGGTTGGGATCCTGGCATGCTGGGAGGTTTGTGGGTGCTCCAGGATCACAGCCCTGGCTACACAGGGAAGGCTGGGGAAAGACTGATTGTGGCCCTGCCTCTTTCCCAACTGGGGCCTGGCTGAGGAGATGCACTGGGGTGTCCAGGTGCCAGCCAGCTCCAGCTGTCTCCTCCCTGAGCAGAGAAGTCCTCTAGTCCCTGTAGTTGGGGCTGCAGGAAAAATGAAATGAGGTTCCTAACATCACTTGCTTCTGGTTGTTAGAGAACATGAGACAGGGCGTCACGAGACCTGGCCTTACTGTTTGCCTTTGGCAAGTCACTCTTCTTCTCGGGGCCACCTCTGTAGGAGGGAACTGGTAATCCCTGCCAGTGTGATTTCAGCTCCACCTGATGACTCTCTGCTGCTCTTCAGAGGCCAGTCGTGCATCCCCTCTCCTTGGAATACTGTTTCCTGGTATCTGCTGCCACAATTCTTGTTTTTTCAACTTTTAGCTCTGGTACTACCCTCTGTGACTGTCCTCAAAACAGAATGTTCTGCTCCTTCCTCAAGTTTCTCTACGTTCTTGAGGGCAGGGACCGTGAGGAATAATAGAATGACAGTTCTGTTTATTGAGAGATGACCAGCCATATGCCAGGCACCATGCCCAGATAACACGTGTTAAATGAGATAAGAGGAGGCACTGTGTTATCTCATTTAATTTTCCAACCATGCCTCCTTAATCCTAGTTGACAGAGGAGGAAAGTGAGGCTCAAATAGGCAGTGCCACTTGTCCAGGGTCACAGAGGGTAGGGCAGCTTGGGCTTTCTCACCTTTTCATTTCCAGCGTCTTGCAGAGGGGATGGCACATGGATGTTTATCCTCTACCTGCTGAATGACTGGTGACTGGATGCATGAATGGGTCCACAGTGTGGACTGGTGCCAGTAGTGTTCACTGTTATCATTTGTTGCCTTATGCCAAAATGACTGTAGGAGCTGTCCAACGACAGGGTGGAAATGCACAGAGAAGGGGTGAGTGCTCAGTCACTGGGGATAAGCAAGTAGCAACTTGATGGCCCTTGACAAGGACACAGGGCAGACCTGAGCATCAGCAGCCAAGGAAGGCCTCTGTCACCCCAGTCTACTCCTCCATGTCCTTGGGCAGTCCTGAAACTGAAATGCATTCCTTAGTTACTAGTGACCCACCCATGCCCAGCCCCACAGTCGAAGTATCCAAAGTCCATGCCAGCTCCTGGCTTTTCATTCCCACAGTCTTTTGCAAACTGTAAAGTGCTATTACTTTTTCCATTTCTAATCTGTCCCGTCCCACAAACTGCCTCTTAAATGAAATGTCCATATGCTGGATTGGAAGAATCCTCTCCTGGCACTGGCTTCCTGGAGCCTTTGGGTCCGAGCCCTCCGCGTCCCCCGCCCCATTTCCGTCCTTAGCTATTGTGCAAGACAGGCAGGCACACCTTCTGGGATAGGTCGGGTCAAGGCCAAGGAACTTTGAAAGCGAGTGGCTGCTGGAGGGACAGGGGGCCGCAGCACTGGCAGCAGCAGTGCAGGGGCGCAAAAGCCGAATTCCGGCACGTCGGCGTCGGCCCAGGCGTGCCCATCCAGCAGCAGGAGGAGGGGAGGGGAGAGACCCCGGCAGCGGCCCCGGCACCCCGTTCTTTCAGATTCCCCCACCAGCCCCTTTCTTCGCTTCTGTTCCGTGCAGGGCGCGCTCTGCTGGTCTCTCCGGGGTGTCCTTTTCAGGGATCGTCTTTGTCTGGGTCTCCCGCGGTCCCGGCGTCCCCAGCCTGGTGCCCCGCCTGCCGCG